GTTACTGTTACTGTTACTGTTACTGTTACTGTTACTGTTACTGTTACTGTTACTGTTACTGTTACTGTTACTGTTACTGCTACTGCTACTGCTACTGCTACTGCTACTGCTACTGTTACTGTTACTGTTACTGTTACTGTTACTGTTACTGCTACTCCTACTACTACTACTCCTTCTGCCCTCCTGCGGACATTAATCTCGCTGAGCTTTCGTTGCCCATGCCCCTCAAGTTCAGGGAAAGGGGGCCGGAGAAAACGAACGAGCGCAGGGGAGTTCGGGATTGCATGGTGCAACTGTTTTCCACCACCTTCGGAGCAGATGTCATTGGTTGTGAGCCAGGCATGACGGGCTTTACGGAGTATCTGCAGAAGGCACGTGGTGGTGTCGCGACTTCGGACACTGTAGCATGTGTGGTGCTTTGGCGTTGGGCAGGAATGCTTTTCCTGGAGGGCGCATCTGCCTCACAGAAGTGTCCCAAGGATCCTTTCCTTGAAACGATGCTTGGCTAGCATGGCCTACTGCGCACCTTTGACACACCGCAAGGTCGTGAGTAGCAGTTGCCAGGAAAGATGTGTTGACACGCATCCATCAGCTTGGCCACATGGCGAGCGACGGAATTGACCTGGTTGACTGCACTGCGTACTTGGCTGATATCAACAAGGATGCAGCCGCAGTTCGACGAGCTTCTCGGATGCATTGGCCAAGCTGAATACGATGCTTCTTGACTCGGTTTTCAGCGGCTAGCTTTGAGGCCATCGCGGATTTCTACGCAGCCGCCGTAGTCCGACCTGCCACTACATTGGTGCAGGCCATAACATGTGTTGGTACGCGGGACTTCATGGCTCCACTTCATGCAACTGGGCAATGCAGGCTGGCGGGCTGCCCGACGGTAAATCCGTACTCCTCCGCTGCATCGGGACGATGTCAGATCCGGCATTGGCGAGGATTTCGGTTGCATTCTGTCATGTTAGGAAAGTACAGACATAGACAAGGCATCATTCTGACTTCTGAAGAGAATGTCGATTGGTCAGGATGCCGCCAGTATCTATCGACGGTGCCACCATCACCGACAGAGTCTTGTCTCACACAAGGTCGTTTCCGCCTTGCTAAACGCGGGCTCGAAGCCATGCTGTGTAGTACGCAGCTGCTGCTACCGAACAGTACAGACAGCCTTGACCCACGATACACTCTTATCTGAGTTCGCGGACCCCGTCGTGACACGTGACGCTTTCACACGTCCTCTGCTGACCGCAGTGCTGCATGTTTCAGCACATGCGACAGAGTCAAGAGTTTGCGGGTGGGTGTCGCGCTTGCACTCCCGTGCTTGGCATATCTTAGCATAGGAGACATCTGACCTTAGCACATCTGTCCCGTCAACAGATAAGTCGCCGCTTGGAGATCACCGGCACAGTCTTGCGATGTGTTTGCTACTAGCAGCGGGATGTTGCACGCTAGCAGTTCGTGGCGGCTTCTGCATTACATGCTTCAACGGCGTGCGTGCATGAACCAGACATGTGTCATCGCAGCCTTCCTGAGATGGCCTTGTCTTTCTGAGGATTTGTCTTTACGTCGGCTTTGCTTGGGCGCAATTCATCAGGTCGGGGGTCCCCGAGGGCAAACATGAAAAGCATGCCGAATCGATTTTTGGATTTCAGGCTCGGATGCCTTTGATGAGTTGCAGCGCGTGCTGAAAACTGCAGACGTCAGTCTCAAGGAGCTCTGTCTGCAGACGATGTAGCAGCTTCACGCTGACCTTTGATGCTGCCAGGAGGTTGTCACTTGCTCCTTCTATGTCAAGGATCAGGCACACATGTTCGATCTCTTTGCAGGCTTCTACGAGGCCTTCAACAAGGACCTGCCATACTGAACGGGATCTCAGCTTCAGACGTGCTGTCACTAGGAGAATCCACCTCCTCCGACACGTGGCGAATATCAAGCCGACACCGATACCTGCCACGAAAGTCTTGGCAGATCTTGGCAGTTTGGAGTCTCTTTTACGTTGCATGAGACTGTGCGCCGAGGAGTGTGACGACTGTCTCGTTGCGATGAAATGTGTGGCTGCTCGTTTGCCACCGGTGCGAGCCCTAAGCATCCGTCGCAATATCAAATGCCACAAACTTCTGTCAGTCAGTAGCATGACATCAGTTTGGGAAGTCGCATCGCCAAGGTCGCAGCATCCAGTGGCCTTGGAATGAGTGGTATGAATTTGGTAATTTAACGCTGCGACCTTTTGCTTGCCTTTGAAGTAGGACACTGCCTGGAGTACAGAGAGACAGGCGACTTCCCAGCAGAAAAAATGCAAGAGCTATAGACACAGATGCTATCAGCATGCAAGTTGGCACGGCCGCGACGGCGATGAGTCACTGAGTCACAGCTTCGGTAAGGCCTTCATTCTGTGGCAATGGCAAGGCAGCAAGGCAGAGCTGCTTACATCTATGTTTGCATTAACTGCAGGCCCTCGATTTCCCAACTCGCTGGTAATACCCTTGTAAGTACTGTGACAACTCCGCAGATGCATGGGTGCATGGTTGTAAGACGGGATAAAATGTTAAGGTTTTCCGATGCAGGCGCTTGAAGGTATGGTAAGTCAAGGTAAAGGAATCGATGCTGGATGCCTACAGGCGGGTGAATATCAGTGAACTCGCCAGGCATTGAGGATTGGGCCTGACAGTTGTTCTTTCCCGGAAGCTGGTCCTTTTTTTCTAGGTTGAGGGTTCACATGGGGGGTTTGGCGTCGAGATCAGGTTGTGCAGGGTTAGGTCAGGTTGGGGGCAGTAGGTTAGGGTGGGATCCAATAGGTTCAGCCAAAGGTAGGTTGGATGAAGACAGATTTGGTTAGGACCGGCGGTGAACTGGACATCGGTCTTTGGTGCACTTATTTTGATTTTTTTGCCCCCTTGCGTACCTGCCAGCAAATTTGTGTGGGTGGCGTCGTATCTGTGACAGGATACACGGGCATACTCATCAATATGGCCGTATCCTTGGCAGTCAGTGTTCGGCTGTAACTTGTCATGTCATGCGTTTTCCGTCCCACGACATCTCCAATGGCCCAGACATTGCGAGGTGGTGTCAACAAACAGCTCAGCACGTGGCATGTGCGCTGCTTGTGGATTTCAAACGCTTTGCAGCATCCCGAGGCTCCGGGGAATGTTCTCTGGAACGAGCGACAGATGGCATGCTGAGCAGTTGTAGATCTTTGACAGGGCTTTCCAACACCCAGAACTTGGACTTGTGGACGCCTTTTCTATGTTCTATGACCTCCAACAGAAAGCCCCCAACAAGGCTGGCACACCGCTTTCACTCAGCGGCGTTTTGATGACTTGCCGCCAGGTCCAACCTGCTGACACTAGGCGACCTACGGATCCTAAAGAATCATCTCGGCCGGTCGACTCTGCCCCGACAGCGTCTCCCGCCTAGCTACGACCTGTCGCTGCTTGCACACCGGACCTGACTGACGGTTCTGCTGCAGGGACGTTCTGACTCTGCAGGTTGGCAATCAGGCCCAGCATGATGATGCAGCATGTGTGTCAACTGTGGACTGCGAAGAGAGCTTCGTGTGCCACAGGCCCACTTCAGACCGCGCCTCCAGACGGCAGGCCGGCGCCCAAGTACATCGAGCACCAGCCGTGTCGTGCCGTTTCACTGAGGCAAGCTCGAAGTGCAGCCTGCTCTTCCCCAAGGCAGCAGGGCACTTTCGTGCGTGTTCATTGAACAGCTGGGTTGTTTCAGCAGGTCTCGCGCTACATCCAGAAACTGGTGTCATTACCGGCACTCCAGATACAGCCTCAGATCCCTCCGGCTTACGAAACGGAAACATTGCCACAATCTGTCAAATGTTGTCCAACTCCCTGGGCCTTTGAGGTGCTGGCCGCCGAGGACACAAGATATTGCATCAAAGAGCGTCCCTCAGTCTGCTGCAACTTTGTGTTCGACCCCAGACATAGGCTTCCGTTATGTCGTGTGACGCATGTGTGCGTTGAGGAAGAAGAAGTTCTAGCAGGGCCGAATCACTCGGCTCCTCCCTCCCTCCCTCCCTCCCT